TTTTGCGGCGCCGGCCGCTCGTCGCGTGCGGCGCCCGCGTCCCGCCGGAGGCGCGCGCGCCGACCCGCGCCGCGCCGCGCCCCCCCCCCGGTCCCGGTCCCGCGCCCACCCCCGCGGCCCGCGCAGGCTGGGCGTGCTCGCCCCGCTCGCGTCGTCGAACATTTTGAACACGGAGCTGCCGCTGTCGACGCTCGCCGGCGAGCTCAGCGAGGAGGACACGGTGCAGGGCCGCGAGGACGCGTCCGCGCGGAAGTGGGGCTATCTGGCCACGGCCGTCGAGGACGCGGAGGCGCGGCTCGCGGTCTGGGCGAAGAAGAAGAAGAAGGGGGGCTTCACGATCCCCGGCATCGACGCGCCGTCGCTCTACCCCGACGAGATCTGGGCCGACGGCCACTCGACGATGCTCTCGAGCTGGAGCTTCCACGCGGACGTCGTCGCGGCGATCACCGAGGGCAAGACCTTCGTCGTGCGCTTCATCGACAGCGACGTGCCCCAGAAGGCGAACAAGGGCGCGCGGGACACGGCGGCGGCCTGGGACGCCGTCGTCCAGGCCTACGCGGGCCACCCGAAGGTCCGCTTCGGCGACGTCTGCGAGGACGACATGTGGACCATGGGCGGCTACATCACGCACACGGCCGACTTCGCCGAGCTCGCCATCGGCCGCAAGGGCTACCCCTACGTGCACTCCTTCAACCGCGACAGCGACGTCGGCGGCACGGTCTACGAGGCGTCGCCGGGCAAGTCCATCGCCGAGGAGCTCGCGGACCCCTACGACCTCATGGCGTTGCTCGAGGACGAGGCCAAGGCCTGCATCTGCACCATCGCCTCCGGCGAGGGCTGCTCCGCCGCCGAGGTCGAGTACGCGGCCATCATGCGGGGCAAGGGAAGCTTCGACCTCAAGAAGCAGGTCGTCGCGCTCCGCGCGCAGGCCAAGTCCGAGGACGCGGAGGACGACCCGGACCTCAAGACGTCCGTGCACCAGCGCCTCTCCATCCTCAAGCAGCTCACCATGGGCAAGCCCGAGGACTACCTCCCGAACAAGCTCTACGAGGAGAACTACGACCCGGACGACTGGTCCGTCGACGTCACGCCGCAGTACGTCCAGAAGGCCAAGTTCAAGATGGACATCATCCACTGGACCGAGGACCTCCTCGTGCCCTGGCTCCCGCCCAACGTGACGCTGCCCCCGCGCAAGTTCCTCGGCGACTACGTCTGGGACCAGGCCAAGTCCGACACGGAGTACCAGCTCGAGCTCCTCGGCGTCGAGCGCCCGAAGAAGAAGAAGTGGAACTTCGACACGCCCGACGGCGTGCCCAGGGAAATGTAGGGGCGCGCCCGCCGCGACATCCGCGCGCCGCCCTGTTTCTTCTTCCTATAAGAAGGCGCGCGCCGGAGCCCAGCGCGCCGACTCGGAAGAGGGCGGCCGAAGTGCCAAGTAGAGTCAGGTTCATCCACTGCTCTTAAAGCAGGCGCGCGACGTGCGCCGCGAGGGACGGGTCCGCCGTGAGCGCGCGCGACGCGGCGAGCGCCCAGGCGTCGAGCGTCGCCGCGTCGGGCGGGGACTCGACGCCCGCCTCGGCGAGCATGTCGCGGAGCACGTCGCCGCAGTTGCGCCACGCCGCGAGGTCGCGCGGCGCGTGGCAATTCGCAGAGCGAAGCGCGTCGACGCCGGCGGGGCCGCAGATGCGGCGCATGCACGCGTCCACGGCGTCCAGGGGCTCCTCGTCGTCGTCGTCGTCCTCCTCCTCCGCCTCCGGCTCCTCCGGCGGCGGCGGCGGCGGCCCGGCGAGGCGGCGCTCCGCGGCGGCGCGCGCGGCCGCGCGCGCGTCCGCGGCGGGCGGCGCCGCGGGGGCCGGCGGCGGCGGCGCCGCGGGGGCCGGCGGCGGCGCTTCCTCCTCGTCGTCGTCCTCGTCGTCGTCGTCGTCCTCCTCGCCGTAGCTCTTGCGCGCGCCGCGGCTCTGGCGGCGCGCGAAGCGGCTCGCCCAGTCGACGTCCGGCAGCAGCGCCACGAGCGCGTCGCCGACGCCGAGGCCGCCGCTGTGGTGCACGAGCGACCAGAAGACGCGCTCGGAGCACCGCGCCATGTTCTGCGGCCGGAGCATGTCGTCGCCGCCGTCCGCGAGCACGCTCCGCACCGCGGCGACGACCTCGTCCCGCCCGACGAGGTCGACGACGTCCTCGTGGCGCCGCGCGGCCGCGCCGCGCGCGCCCAGGGTCGCCGCGCCGGCGGCGAACGTCGCGCGGAGCTTCGACGGCGCGCCGTTGAGGGCCGTCTCGGCGACGGCGAGGTCGAAGGCGCCGCCGAGGGCCGCCGCGAAGCGGTCCTCGGCCTTGGAGCTCTCGTAGGAGCCCGCGAGGGCCGTCTTGAGCGCCGCGCGGAAGAAGAGGCCCCCGGAGCCCCGCGACGTGCCCGCGGCGGCGGCCGCGAGGTCGACGCCGATGCCCTCGCGCGACCCGAGCTGGACCCGGGCCCGCTTCGGCTTCCGCGCCGCCGGCGCCGCCGCGCGGCCCGCGAGGCTCGCGACCGTCGCGGGCGCGAGCGGCGCGGCGGGCGCCGGCGGCGCGGCCGCGGGCGCCGGCGGCGCGGCCGCGGGCGCCGGCGGCGCGGCCGCGGCGGTTCCGGCTCCGGCGGCGGCGGGTCCGGCGGCGGCGGTTCCGCGGGACCGCGCCTCGGCGGCCTCGAGCGCCGCCGCGCGCCGCGCGGCCGGCGACGGCGCCGCCGGCGCCGCGGCGGCCTTGCGCTTCTTCGGCGCGGCCTTGGCCTTGGCCTTGGCCGGCGCGGCCTCGGCCTTGGGCGCTTTCGGCGCTTTCGGCGCCTTGGGCGCCTCGACGGCGAGCAGCGACGTCCCTTCGCGCGTCGCCGCCGACAGCGCGAGCGCGCCGTCGAGCGGCTGGGGCGGGAACCCGCCGCGGAGCGTCAGGTTCTTCTTCTTAAAGGCCTTGGACACCTGCGTCGCGAACGCGTCGACGGTGATGGACGGATCGAGGTCGTCGAAGGTCTTCTTGGCGCCTTTGAGCGTCACGGTGAGCGACCACGAGGCCATGGTGGCGACGGCGCACGCGTTCGGGGTGTCGCGCGCCTGGCGACGGCGCTCGCGTTCGGGTCGCGTCTGCTCTGCCGGCGGCGGCTGTGGCAATTTGTGGCAGGGTCGACCTCGCTGATTTGATGGCAGTGCCACATCGACCGCGAGCCGAAGACCAAAAGCACTCCGACCTGTGCCCGCGAGAGCTCGTCGGCCCGCGCGCAGGGGCATCCGTCGCGCGCCGAAGACACCGCCACCGGTAGTCCCACCGCCTGCTCGCATCGCACGACGATGGAGCCCTGGCGTAGCGAGAGCTTCCCCATGACCGTCGCCTGCGGCGTCTGCACCGTGGAGATGGTCGTCGACTCGCCGGACGTGATCCCGTTCCTCGCCTGCGACGTCTGCGGCTCGACGCCCTGCGGGCGGCTCTGCGGCAAGTGGTTCCAGAACGAGGACGGCGCGACGAAGCACACCATGTCCTGCGGGCGCCGCGCGGCCGCGCCGCGGCCGCAGCGCGTCGCGCGCGACTCGCCGCCGCGCGCGCCCGAGCCCAAGGCCAAGGCGCGCGCGCCGAAGAAGCGGGCCGCGCCGCCGGCGGACGTCAAGCCCCGGGCCGCGGAGACGGCGCCGAGCCACTCGCTCCTCGGCGGGTTCGCGCTCCCGCCGGCGCCCGCGGCGCGCGCGGCGCCCGCGCGCGCGCCGCCGCCGCCGGCCGCGGCGCCCGCGCCGCCGCCGGCCGCGGCGCCCGCGCCGCCGGCGCCCGCGCCGCCCGCGCCGGCGTCGCCGCCCGCGGTGACGCCCGAGCCGGCGGCCGCGGCCGAGGCCGCGGGCTCGGGCTTCTCGGCCGAGGGCGCGGCGCTGTCCGTCGCGGCGTTCGTGCGCGCGCTCGACGGCGCCTTCGCGTCCCTCGGCGGCCGCGAGCGCGTCGAGCACGGCGGCGGCGTCCGGGGCAACCTCGCGCCCGACGCGTCCGTGTGCTCGTCCGGGCAACGCGACGCGCACTACGGCGCGGTGCTCCCCAACCTCGTCGCGCACTGCCTGTCGCGCGCGCGTCTCGCCGCGGGCGAGACCTTCGTCGACGTCGGCAGCGGCCTCGGCGCCGCGGTGCTCCAGGCGGCGCTGACGACGACGTGCGCGCGCGCGGTCGGCGTCGAGGTCGTGCGGAGCCGCCACGACGCCGCGCTGGCGGTTAGAGACGCAACGCTGGCGCAGCTGCCGCCGGCGGCCGCCGCGGCGCTGGAGGCCCGGGCGGAGCTGCGGCTCGGCGACGCCTTCGACGCGGCGACGGCCGACTTCCTGAGCTCGTGCGACGTGCTGCTCGTCAACAACGCGAACGGGACCATGGCGCCGGAGCGCGTCGCCGTCGCGTCGCACCGGCCCCTCGACGAGCAGCTGGCCAACGTCGCGAAGCGCTGCCGCGTCGGCGCGCGGCTCGTCGCCATGGACACGATCCCGCTATTGGACGCCGCGGCGCTCGGCGGCGCCTTCGACCGCCTCGAGTTCGACTCGGGGCCCCTCGCCGTGTCCTGGACCGACGGGCCCGTGCCCCTGGTGCTCTACACGAAGCGCAAGGTCTCCTGGACCTGCCCGCGCTGCACCTTCGAGAACCCGCTCTTCGACGACTTCGCCTTCATCACGGAGTGCGCGCTCTGCCCGGACGAGCTCCGCGCCAAGTTCAACCTCACGGCCGGCGACATGGACGGCCACCGGCCCAAGCGCCGCTGCGCCAAGAAGGACGGCTAGGGTTGCGCAGTAAGCGTCGGGTTATCCGCGCGCTCGCCGAACGGCGCGGAGGCGCGCCGCGGGTCGTTGTCTCGGGGCGGACGCGGCGCGGACGCGGCGCCGGCGCGTCCGGATGTAGAGGGGGACGGCGACGCACATGCGGGCGGTGGATGGTTGGCTCGAGCCGTCGTCGAAGGCGTCGTCGAGCCGAAAAATGCCACAGCGAATCGGCACGAAGTCTGCGCTCTCCAGTGGTTGAGCTCCCTGTAAGACGCTCTCTAAGTGCTCGGACCGACGCGGGCGACCGACATTGCTGCAGCTTGTTCGCGCCCAGAGGAGACCGCGTGGGGCGGGCTCCGCTGGTCCGGACGAGCATGAGCGACGACATGAGCGACGGCGACGACTTTGGCGGCGGCCGCGGGTCCCCGCGGAGCCGCGGCACGCCCGTCGCGAATCGTTCGTCGGGCCGGCTCCCGCCGAAGCGCAAGGCCGGGGCGGGCGGCGACGACGGCGACGCGCGGTCGCGGCGGCGCCGCGGGCGCGACGCGCCCGCCGGGCGGCACCGCGACGGGGGCGAGGCGCTCGCCGCGGCGCGCCGGTTCCTCGACGCGACGGAGGCCCAGGCGCGCGGCGGCGACGACGGCGCGCGGCACCTCGAGCTCGAGCCCCTGGCCAAGCTCTGCTACGCCCTCTCCCACCGCTCCGCGCGAGGTGCGCCCCCCGCCCCCCGCGCGCCCCCGCCACGCGCCCCCTTTTTTTCAGGCGACGACGAGCGCGCGCTCGCGCGGCGCGCCGTCGCCGTCGCGACGGCCGCGCTCCTGGCCGTCGCGGCGGCGGACGGGCCGGCCTTCGGCGACGACGACGCGGCGGGGAACGCGCGCGGCGCGACGACGACGCGCGCCGCGGCCGCGGCCGCCAAGGACAAGGGCGACGCGGCGCCGCCGGCGGACGACCCGTGCCCCGGCCGCCGCGCGGGCCACCGCGCGCAGCTCGCCTGCGCGGCGGCCCTCGAGCTCGCCCTGCTGCACGTCGAGGCCGACGCGCGGGACCCGGCGGCGCCCGGCGCCGTCGCGGCCCTCGACGCGCTCGGCGCGCTCTGCGGCTCGGGCGCCGTCTCCGACGCGGCGCGGTCGCTCGCGGGGCGGCACGAGGGTGATTCAACGTCGCTTCAACGTGAGTGTTCCGCGCGCGCGCGTTTCGGGAACAGCACCCACGCGTCGAGAGCGCTCCGAGAGATGATCGCTCGTCCAAAAATCAGCCGAAACGGGCGGAAAACGACCGAGATCGGAGCCTTTGAAGTTTGGGCATGTCGCACTCTTTTCCTGCCCAGGTCGCTCGCGGCGCCCGCGGCCGAGCCCCGGGGCCGCGACGACGACGTCGCGCCCTTCGAGGACATCCTCGTGACGACGCTCAAGGCCGCGGCGGCGCGCGCGGGCGACCGGCTGCCCGCGGCGCGGCCGCGCGCCGCCGCGGCGCGGTCGCCGCCCGCGGACGCGCTCCACGCGCTCGCCTGCGCGGAGCTGAGCCGCGTCGAGGGCCCGCGGCGCCTCCTCGCCGCCGCCGCCGAGGGCCTGCGGGCCGCCGGCGGCCGCGCCATCGACGAGGACGGCGCCGCGGACGGCGACGGGCCCGCGCGCGCGCGCGCCGTGCTCTGGTGCGCGGAACTCGCGACGGTCGCGCGGACCGTCGAGGAGCGCGCCGCCGACGCGGGCCTGGGCCTCGAGACGAAGAAGACGAAGGCGGCCGTCGAGGCCACGTGCCTCGACGTCGCCGCGCGTTTAGGATCCGCCGTCGCCGCGGGCGCGGACGGCGGCGGCGACGCGCCCGCGCCCGCGGGCTGGCGCGCGGCCAAAAAGCGCGTCGCGGCCCAGCTCCTCGGCGGCGACGGCGACGACGCCGTCGCGAGCGCGGCGCTCGCGGCCTGGGCGGCGCTGGGCGAGATCGCGGAGCGCAACGAGAGCGCGGAGTCGGGCCCGCACGCGCGGCGGACCCTCGACGCCGTCGCGGCCGCGGCCGTGCTCCGGGGCCGGCGCCGCGCGTCGAGCGTCGTGCTCCAGTGCCTGGCGTCCGAGACGGCGTCGGCGGGGCCCGTGACCATGGGCGCGACGCCGCGGGCCGTCGCGGGCTTCGTCGCCGACGCCGTCGCCGCCGCGCTCGACCGCGGGGCCTGGGCGCCGCTCACGCTGGACCCGAAGACGGTCCTGGACGGCGTCGCGGCGTTGGCCGCGGCGGCGAACGCGCGGTCCTCGCCGAGCGACGCCGGCGCCGCGAGTCTGGGCGCCAAGTGTCTCGGCGCGCTCGCGCGCGCGCTCGCGGCGCCCGGCGACGGGTCGCCGGCGGACCGCAAGCCCGCGGCCGCGCCGTCGAAGCGCAAGCGCCGCGGCGACGAGCCCGAGGCGAACGACGACGGGCCCAGCGCCGCGTTCCGCGACGCGCTCGGCGGCGACCACGCCGTCGCGCTGCTCTACGCGGCGGCGTGGGGCGACGACGACGACGGCGACCGCGGCGACCGCGACCGCGACGGCGCGTGGGCCGCCGTCGGCGCCGCGGCCGCGGCCGCGGGCGACGCGCTCTGCCGCGGCGACGGCGGCCGTTTGGACGCCGCGCGGGCCGCGCTCGTGGCCCACTGCGGCGTCGACGGCGCCTTCGACGCGCTCATGCCGCGGCGCGCGTTCGTGCCCCTCTACGAGGCGCTCCTCCGCGACGCGGGCGACGACCGCGGCGACGCGGGCGCGCTCGAGGCGCTCGCCGCGTTGCTCCTCGGCGACGACGGCGACCTGTGCCCGCTGGCCTTCGCGCCGCGGGCCGCGCGGTTCGTCGTCGACGCGCTGTCGTCGCCGCGGCGCGACGCCGTCGCCGAGACGGTGGGCGACGCGCTGTTGGAGAGTTTGCTAGGGTTGTGCGCGGATGGCGTGGACGATGCCCTGGCGTCCACGGCGGCCGCGCGGCTCTGCTGCGTCGCGCGCGCGGGCCTGGGCGCCGCGCCGCGGCCGCTCGACGCGTTGGTGCCGCGGCCGGAGCATTCCGCGGAGGCGAGCGACGACGCGGCCTACGGCGACCTGCGGGCCGCGCCGGCGGCGGGGTCGGCGGCGAGCCGCGCGGCGCCGGCGAAGCGCGAGCGCCGGCGGCGCGGCGGGCCGGGGCCCGCGGCGCAGGCCAAGAGCGAGGACGCCGCGGGCCGCTTCCGCGACCTCGCCGAGGCCTGCGGCGGCGAGCTGCGGGCCGCGGCGCTCGGCCTCGTCGACAAGGCGGCCGGGGGCGCGCGGTCCCTCTTCCTCGGGGACGCGGCCTGGCGTCTCGCCTGCCGCGTGCCCGGCGCCGGCGACGCCGACGGCCCCGTGGCCGGCCTGCTCGCGGCGGCGGCGCTCGCGCGCGCGTCCGACGCGCGGCCCGACGGCGCGCCGCCGGTCCCGGCCGACGACGCGGCCTTCGCCGCGGCGCGGACCGCGCTCCGGAGCGTCGCCGCGTCCCTGGGCGGCGACGCCGCCCCGGGCTGGGCCGCCGCGGCGGCCGCGGAGGCGCTCGCCGTCGCGGTGCGCGCGGCCGCGTTCCCGCGGTCGTCCGGCGACGGCGACGACGACGACCTCGACGTCGACGACGGCGGCGACGACGAGAACGACGACGGCGCCGGCGGCGACCACGGCGTCCTGGCCGACGAGCTCCTGGCGGCGCTCGGCGCCGCCGCGGACCGCCACGACCGCGTCGTCGACCGCGCGCTCGGCGGCGGCGGGCCCGCCGACGACGACGGCGGCGACGCGAAGAAGCGGCGCCGCCGGGGGCCCGGGTCCCGCTCCGGGTCGCCGCGGCCCGAGGACGACGGCGCCCAGGCCGACGCGAAGCTCGGGCGCCTGCTGCTGCGCGCGCTCGGCGGGCCCGGCGGCCGCGGCGCGACGGGCGCGGCGGCGGCCGCGCCGCCCGGGTCGCTCCTCGGCGACGGCGGCGACGAGGCGACCGGCGGCGACGACGCGCGGGACTGCGCCGCGCGGCTCGGCGCGCGGCTCCGGCGCCGGGGGTGGGCCGCGGCGGCCGGCGCGCTCGCGGACGCGCCCGAGCGCGGCGGCCGCGTGAGCGGCGCGGCGGAGGCCCTCGACCGGCGCGTCGCGCGCCACCTCGCCGCGGCCCCGACGGCGTCCCCCAAAGCGCCGCCCCTCGACGCGTCGAAGCGCTGCGTGGGCGCGCTCGCGGCCGCGACGCGCGCCCTGGCCGTCGCGGCGAAGCGGCGCGACGCGCGCGCGCCCGCGGCGGCGCGGTCCGAGGCGACGGCGCGGGCCGCGCGCTTCGCCGCGGCCTTTGGGCGGCTGAAGAACGACGGCGCCTTCGGCTTCGCGCGGCCGGCCGCGGCGGCCGCCGCGGCCGCGCTCGCGAAACGTCCCTCGGACGCGCGCGCGCTCGACGCGGCCTTTTCGCTCGACGCGCTGCGCCGCCTCTTCGCCCCGGCGCGCGGCGACGGCGGCGACGACTGGGCCGTCGCGCGGCGCCTCGCGCTCGACGACCTCGAGGCCTGGGCGCAGTCGCCGCGCGCGGAGCACAAAGCGAATTTGGCGCTCTTCTTCGACGGCGACGCGGCGGGCGGCGACGCGCTCGGCGACGCGCCCGGCGGCGACGTCGAGGCGCTGGTTTCCTGGGCGTTGGACGACGACGCCGGCGCCGCGGCGGAGAAGGCGCCGAAGCGCAAGAAGGCGCCGCCGCAGCTGGACGCGGCGTCGGAGCCCGGCGACGACCCGCGCCGCAATCGCGCGTCGCCGTCGACGCGGCGCGCCGTGGCGCTCGTACAGGCCGTCGGCGTGCGCGGGCCGGGCCCGAGCCGCGTGCGCGATGCGCTGCGGCGCGCGCTCGCGAAGGCGCCGAAGCCGTCGCTCGACAAGCTCCTCGGCGCGCCGGATTCCGAGCTCGACACGGAGCCCCTCTGCGAGGTGCTCGCGTGCGCCGTCGCCGACGACGGCGCCGCGGCGCGGGCCGCCGACTTCGTCGCCGGCAACGGGCCCTGGGACGACCGGCCCGCGGCCAAGTCGAGCCGCCACCCGGGCGGCGCGGCCGCGTGCGCCAAGGTCTACGCGGCTTTGGCGGCGCACCCGCCGGCCTGGCTCGGCCGCCGGTCCCGGCACAGCCGGCCCCTCGAGCAGCTACTCGTGCTCGCCGCGGCGCTGTCGAACGGCCTGCCCGGCCTCGTGGACGCGCTGGCCAAGGCCGCGTCGTCCGAGGTGCAGAAGCGGGGCGCCGACGGCCCGTCGCTCGGCGTCGCGCGGACGCTGGAGCTCGCCGCGGCGCTCGTCGCCGGTCTCTGCGGCGCCGCGGACGCGCTGGAGCCGCCGCGCGCCGTCCTGCCCGAGCCGCCGCCGCCCGTCAAGGCCGTGGAGGCGCCGGAGCCGGACGCGCTGCGGTGCACGTACGCGACGTCGGGCGGCGACTTCGTGGACCAGCACTGGTACAACTGCGCGACCTGCGGCCTCGTCGGCGACAAGGGCTGCTGCTCCGCCTGCGCGCGGAAATGCCACGCGGGCCACGAGCTCTCCTACTCGCGCAAGTCGTCGTTCTTCTGCGACTGCGGCGCGCGCGGCGACGGCGACGACGACGGCGCGCCGCGCGGCTTGGCGGACGCGCTGGGCCGCGGGCGCCACGCGTCGGCGGCGGCGGCGCTGCTGGCGGCGGCGCCGCCCTGCAAGTGCCTCGCGGCGGCGGCGACGGCGCCCGCGGGCGCGCGGCGCGCGGCCGCGCCGCGGCCGAAGAAGGCCGCGGCGCCCGAGGCGCCGCGCCCCAGGCGCGACCGCGACGCGCTGCTCCTGCGCGTCGGCCGCGTCGCGCTGGGCCGCGCGGAGAAGCTCAAGCCCGCGGCGGCGCGCGCCCTGGCGGCCCTCGCGCGCGAGCTCTGCGACGTCGGCGCGGGCGCGGGCGCCGCGAAGCCGGCCGCGAAGCCCCGGAGCCCGCGGTCGCGCGACGCCGCGTCCGTCGCCGGCGGCGCGTCGGCGTCGTCCGTGCAGTCGACGAGCCCGCCCCCGAGCCACGCGTCGGGCGCCGCGCGGCGCCGCGGCGGGCCCGGCGGCGGCGCCGCGCGCGCGGCGGCCGGCGGCTCCGGCGGCGGCGCCGCGCTCGCCGACGACGACGCGGCGCCGACGGCCGCGCCGCCGCAGCGGCGCTTCGCGGCCGTCGGCGGCTTCGACGCGCGGGGCCCCGGCGACGTCGGCTCGGGCCCCGTGGCGCGCCAGCTCAAGGCCCTCGTGAGCCGGCACCGGCTCGCGCCGCGCCTCATCTCCGCGGACCGGCGGGGGCGCGTCGCGGTCGCGGAGCGGCGGCACGTGCTCCTCACGGCTTTGACGAACTGCCTCGCGCCCAACGGCGGCGACGGCGGCGATGCCGTGCGCGCGGCGGCCTGCGCCCTCGGTCGGCTGTCCGTGGCCTTCGACGTCGCGGGCGTCGCGTTCTGCCCGAGTAGCGACCGCCACCTGGCGGTCTGGGGGCTCCGCGACTGCTCGGTCTTCGCGCTCGACGGCGGCGCGCGCCGCGGCGACGCCGCGAGCGCCACGGGCGAGGAGTCGAAGACCGACGACGCCGCGGCGCGGCTCTGCGCGTCGGCGCAGATCCGCGTGGAATTGGCGCTCGACGCGTTAGCGTCCGACAGCGCGCACGTCGTCAAGTGCGCGTGGGTCCCCCGGTCGTCGTCCTGCCTCGTCGTCGCGACGACGCTGGGCGTCCACGTCTACGATTTGGCGGTGGACGCGTCGACGCCGACGCACGCCTACGTGCTGGCCTACGACCAGCACCACGTCCGCGACGCCGTCGTCACGCCGCCGCGCCACGCGTGGCGGGGCGCGCGCGCGCTCTACGTCGTGCTCGACACGGGCCGCGTCTTCGCCGCAGATTTAGAAATTGCGCCGGGCGACGACGGCGACGACGAGGCGCTGCTGGGCGCGTCGAGCTTCGCGTCCGCGGCCGCGGCGGCGGCCGCGCGCGACCGGCGGCGCCGCCGCGGCGGCGGCGGCGGCGCGATCGAGCGGCCGCGCGAGGTCTATTTGGACCTCCACGACGCCCTGCCGCTGCCGTCGCGCCTCTTTGGGGGCGCGGGCGCGGCCCACGCGCTGCTCTACAGCGTCCAGGCCCACGCGCTCGTGCTCAGCCGCGACGGCGCGCCCGCGGTCTGCGTCCGTGTGGAAACCAAATCTTCAACCCGACTTCAATGTGAGCGTAATCGAACGGTTTGACGCAAGGCTTTCTGCTGTGCTTCGAGAACTCGACGAGAGCGATCGATTCGTCCAAAAATCAGCCGAATCGACTTCGATGTGACCGAGATAGAGAGTTCTGAAGTTTGGTGGGGACCCCCCAAACCAGCGGTTGATTTCCACACAGGTCTGCGTCACGCTCGGCGAGGGCGTCCGCGACGTCGTCGGCGGCTTCAAGCTGTTGAACCGCGCCCTGCCCGGCGCGGCGAGGCCGCCGGCGGCGGCGGGAAACGCCCGCGCGCCGGCGAACTCGGCCGACGAATTGTTGCTCGCGGCGCTCGCGGCGACGTCGGCGACGGGCGCGCGCCGCGGCGGCGCCGCGGCGCCCGCGGCGGCGGCCGCCGACGCGACGCACGCGCCCTACGCGGCCTGGGTCGAGTGGCCCCGAAGTGGCGGCGGCGACGGCCACCTCGACGTCGTCTGCGTCGCGCGCGGGCGCGCGCGCGTCCGAGCGCCTCGTGAGAGTCGGCGCCGCGCGCGACGACCGGGGCCACCGCGCGCCCGTCGTCCGCGACCTGGACCTGGGCCCGGCGCGGGCGCAGCCGGCGCCCGCGGCGAGCCGCTTCGGCGGCGGCGAGCCGCTCCGGGGCGCGGCGCCGGCCGCCGCGCACCGCAAGGTGCTGGGCACGTGCCTCTACCGGAACCCGGCGCTACCGGGCGCGTGCCAGCTCCTCGCGCTCTTGGACGACGGCGTTATCGCGTGCTTCGACCACCCCGACGGCGACCGCGACGACGAGCTCGACGGCGACGAGTCGGACGAGACGCCCTCGCGGTGGGCCGCCGAGGCGCCGCGCTGCACCGTCTTCGAGGAGCTGGTCGCCGTGCCCCACGCGCGCCTCGACTTCAGCGGCGACCTCTGCCTCGGTAATTCCCGCGACGAGCTCCGGCGGAAGCTGCGGCCGGGCAACGACGAGTATTTGGTGGCGTCGCGCGCCGAGGGCGGCACGTTCGTCGCGCGGTCCGAGCGGCCGGGCGACGTCGAGGTCGTGCGCGTGCTGCTCGGCGCCGCGTCGCCGGAGCACGTGCCGCGCACGCTCGTGGTCTGCGGCCGGCGGCTCGACGTGTCGAAGGACGACCGGCGCTGGTACGACGTCGCGCTCTCGGACGGCGACCGGCGGGTCTGCGCGGCGCTCGGGGGCGTGGCCCTGAGCCTGCTGGGCTCGAACACGGCGGGCAACCCGCCCCTGCTTGATGCTTTAGAGCTCTACGTCGCCGCGCCGGCCGAGGGCGCGGCGGCGGTGCCGGAGGCCGCGGCCGCGGCGCCGGCGCCGCCCGAGGACGCGGCGGCGCACCACCCCCCTTTGTGCGCGCGGGGCCCCGCGCTCCAGCGCTGCCTCGTCGCCGCCGCGCGCGCCGCGGCCATCGCCGCGGCGGCCGTCGCCGGCGACGTCGACGCCGCCGACGTGTTCCCGAGGGACGGGCGGGATCCCTTTGGTGGTGTAGTGTCTCTCGCAACAAAAGCTTCGAAGCCGAACCCGCTCTGCCGCGCGGCGCTGCGGCTCGTGGAGAAGACGTGCCTCGGCGAGTCGCAGCGGGCCCTGGCCTTCGCCGCGGCGACGCTCGTCCGCGTCGGCTGCGACTTCGACGGCGACGCCGCGGCGCTCGCGGTCGACGGCGCGCGGTTGGATCGCCTCGACGGCGCGCTCTTCGCGGGCGACGAGCCGCGGCGGCCGCCTTTGGGCGTCGCGCGCCTCGCGCTGACGCTCGCGGAGCGGCGGCCCGCGGCCTTCGAGGCGCGCTTCGGCGGCCGCGAGGGCTTTGGGTTCGCGCGCGCGCTCGACGCGTTCGCGGCCACGAAGAGCCAGAGCTCCCCGGCGGCGAAGCGCGACACCGCGGGCGTGCTCGTGCGCCTCGCCTGCGGCGAGCTCTTCTGCCGCTGCCGGGCCGCGCCCGACGACGACGCGCCCGACGTCGCGCGGGCCGGCTGGCTCGCGCTCCTGCCGCTCCTCGAGGACGGCGACGCCGCGGACGCGGCGTGCGAGCGGTTGGCCGCGTGCTTCGGCGACGCGATGGCCGACGACCCGGCGGGCGCCGCGCGCGCGTCCACGGACGGCGTCGATCCCACGGCGCCGAGCCCGCGCAAGGTCGTGCCCATGGACGAGTCCAAGGACGAGGACGAGGATTTGTGCGAGTCGAAGGAGGCGCCGGCGGAGGACGCGGGTCCCGACCGCGTGCCCGTGTCGCGGATGACCAAGGGCGGCTTCCTCGTGGCGGCGGTCCTCCCCCTGCTCCTGGACCGCCTGCGGAAGCACGTCGTCGTCGCCTGCCTCGACGGCGGCGGCGCCGTGCGGACGCCGGGCGACCTCGGGTCGCCGTGCGCGACAGGGCAGCACAAGAGAGCGAAATTCCCAACTTCAAAGGCTCATATCTCGGCCGTTTTCCACTCGTTTTGGCTGACTTTTGGACGAGCGATCATCTCTCGGAACGGTCTCGAAGCGTGGATGCTTTTTCCGGAACGCGCGCGCGCGGAACACTCATGTTGAAGCGACTTGAATCACTCTTTTCCTGCCCAGGTGCGCGATCGCGCGGTACCTGGCCACGGTGCTCGACGTCGTCGCGCGCGCGTGGGCGACGGGCGACGCCGCGCTCGCGCGCGTGCTGGGCGCGCGGGCCGCGGCCTTCTTCGCCGGGGAGCTGCGCTACGCGGCCTGCCACGACGCCGTGAACAAGAAGCGGCGGCGCCACGCGCGCGACCTCCGCCGCGGCGACGGCGTCGAGTGGGACGGCGACGCGGACGGCTCCTGGTTCGCGCCGGGCGAGGCCGACGACGGCTCGCCGGACACGCTGCGCGGCGACGTCGTCGTGTTGCTCCTGCGGAGCCTGGAACGGCTCTGCGCGGGCGCGCCGCCGGCGAAGGGCGAGCGCCGCGGCCGGAGCGAGTCGCAGGGCTCCGACGGCGGGTCCCAGGCCCTGTCCCAGGACGAGCGGCCGCCCAAGGACGAGACCACCTCGCCGGCGAAGCCGCCGCCCGTCGACGCGACGGCGCTGCGCTGCGCCGCGGACGCGGGCCGCGGCGGCGTCGCCGCGTGCGCGCCGCGGCCGCTGTCCGCGGACGCGGGCGCCGCGGCCGCGCGCGCGGGCGCGCGGGCCGCGCGCGCGGCGGCGGCGGGCGCGCTCGACGAGGCCGGCGACGTCGGCGTGACCCTGGGCGACGCGCTCGTGGCGCGCGCGCGGCGGGCGCTGGCGGCGCTGGCCGCCGAGGCCGCGCCGGGCGGCCCCGCGGACCTCGACGACGACGCGCGGCAGCGCGCGACGTCCTACGACGAGGAGTGCGGCGACGCGTCGCCCCTGCTCCTCAACGCCGACGGCGACGACGACGACCACGCGGGCTGCCCGGCCCCGGCGACCGACGCGTGGGACGACGACGACGACGACGACGTCGGAGACGACGCGACGATCCCGCCTTTGGATGATCCGACGCGCGCGGCGGTGAAGACACATGGCGCGCCCTGGTGGCTGCCCCTGGTCGTCGCGCGCGAGTGCGACGCGCCGCCCGCGGGCGCGGCGTCGCCGCGGTCCGCGCTGGCCTGCGCGTTCCTCACGGCGGCGCTCGGCGCGCTCGCGTCCTTCGGGGGCGCCTTCGGCGACGCCGCGGGCGACCGCTGGCCGCCGGCCTTTGTGGCCGCGGCCTGCGACGCCGTCGCGTCCAGGGAGCTCGGCGCGGCGGCGCGCAACGCGGCGAAGCGCGTGCTCCGGCGGCTCTGCGGCGGCAGCGGCCGCGAGTACCGCGCCTGCCGCGACTCCCACGTCTTCGCGCGCCACGCGGCGAAGCTCGTGGGCGCGCTGCGGGGCCTGGGCGAGCGGCGCGAGCTGTCCTACGGCGCGACGGTCGCGCTCGACGCGTCCTTGCGGAAGTTGCTGCGCCTCGCAAGAGCGAGAAGCCACCACTGGCGCACGTTCTGCTCGCGGCCGCGCCTCGAGCGGCCCGGCGACGGGGCGAACGACGACGAGGCGCGGGGCGGGACCATCGTCATCGACGGCGACGACGACGCGCGGGACGACGACGACGCCGCGTCGCTCGCGGACGCGTCGGACGACGAAACTGACGGCGACGGCTTCGCCCGCGCGCCCTGCTGCGCCGTGACGCTCTTCCGCCTCTGCGTGCGGCTCCCGCGGGGGTCGGCGCGCGACGCGGCGCTCGAGCTGCTGGAGCGGTGCGCGCGGCCGCGGCCAACGGACGACGACGACGGCGCGCGCGAGGACGCGCGCGCGGACGCGGAGCGCGACGGTGCGCGCCGCGCGGAGACGCGCCACCGGCGGCGCTTCGCGCGCTTTTTAGGCTACGACAAACCGGCGGCGGCGGCGGCGCCGGGCCTGAGCCGCGCGGCGTGCGGTCTGGTCGACGCGCTCGGCGCCGAGGCCGCGCGCGACTGCCTCGCCTTCTCGGACGCCGTCGTCCTCGACGGCGACACGCGGGGCTGCCGCGCGCTGGGCGCGGCGGTGCTGCGCCACTGCTGGGCCGCGCTGCCCGCGGCCGCGCGGCGCCGCGTGCTCGAGGCGACGGCGCGGGCCGCGCCGCGCGCGCTCCGGCGCTCGGGCGGGTCGCGCGGCGCGGAGCTGCTGGCCGTCGTGCGCCTCGGGGCCGCGGCGGCGCTCGACGACGAGGCGGCGGCGCCCAAGGTCCTCGGCGGCGACGCGCTCGACGCGCTCTGCCGCGCGGTCGCGCGCGGCCTCGACGCGGGCGGCGACGACGACGGCGACCGCCGCGCGGTCTACGCGGCGACGGACGCCTTCTTCGGCGGCGGGCCGCGCTACTTCGACTACGACGCCGACGCCCTCGCCCCCGGCGCGGATCGGCCGGACCTGGCGCTGATCCGGGCCGCCGCGGAGGCGGACGCGTCGTCGGCGCGCGACGTCGACGCGCGCGGCGTCCTCGACGACGTCGGCGACGACGGCGACGCGGCGCTCGCCGCGGACCGCGTGACCTACGTGGTCCAGAGCGGCGAGGCCGGCGAGTCCGCGGGCGTGGTCCGGGTCGTCGGCGCGGACGCGCGCGTCGTGCCCGAGCGCGGCGCGGCGCCGGCGAGCCCGCGGTCGCGGTCCCGCGCGCCGTCGGCGCTGTCCGAGGCGACGGCGGAGCCCGCGGAGGAGGCGCCGCCCGCGCCCAAGGCGCCCGTCGCGTCGGCGCCGCGGCGCCACCGCCGGGGCCCCGCGCTGCAGGCGCTCGAGGACGTACGCAAGGGCGCGCGGTTCACGGAGAGCTGCTCCATCGCCCAGCTCCGCGGCGTGCGGCGCATCCACGCCATCGAGCTGCGCCTGCGGGAGCCCCGGGGCCGCTACGTGCGGCGGCTGCGCGTCTGGTACGTCGCGCGCGAGGTCGATAGCATCGGCGAGCTCGCGGTCCCCGCGAACTGGCCCAAGTGGTCCGTCGCGGCGACGGCGCGGCTCACGCGGGGCCAGACGTCCGTGAAGATCCCCCTGCCGGCGCCCCTCGTCGCCGCGAACCTGCTCTTCGAGTACGAGGACTTTTACCCGCAGCGGACGACGCCCGGCGGCGGCGCGCCGCGCGGCGGCGACCGGGGCCGCGCGGGCGCCTCCGGGTCGCGGTCCGGCGCCTGCCTCCACTGCCCGCGCTGCGGCCGCGCCGTCACGGACGCCCACGGCGTCTGCCAGCACTGCGGCGAGGTCGCGTTCCAGTGCCGCCAGTGCCGCCACATCAACTACGAGCGTTTGGACGCGTTCTTGTGCGTGGAATGCGGCTACTGCGCCTTCGGCGACTTCGGCTACCGGCTCCGGTCCGAGGCGGCGCCGGACGCGCTGGCCATCGCGTCGGCGGAAGAACTGGAAGCCGCGCGGCGGCGGCTCCAGGACCGCGCGGACGTCTGCCGCGACACGCGCGCGACGCTCCGGCGGTTATTACCGGAATGCGCGCGGCTCGCGCGCTGCGTCGCGGGCCGCGGCGACGGGCCCGACGACGACGACGCGGGTTTGGCGCGGTGCGGCGGCGCCTGGACGGCCGTCGACGCCGCGTCGTTCGCGCTCGCGGCCGCGGCGGACGCGCGGTCGCTCGGGTCGCCCGCGGCCGCGGCGCGCGTCGCGGCGGATTTGGGCGGGCTGCTCGCCGTCGTCGCGCCGTCGCCCCCGGTCGTGGCGGCGCTCTTCGACCGCGACCAGGTCCTGGGCTGCGACGCGGAGCCCGCGGCGCCGCCGCGGACCGGCGGCGGCCGCGACCGCGTGCTGACGCTCGAGGGCGTCGTGCCCGGCGCGCCCGCGTCGCTCGGCGCGTCGCTCGCGCGCGCGCGGCTCCGGGGCGAGGGCCCCGGCGGCCGCGGGCTCGCGTCTTTTGCGTTGGGGGGGTCGCGGGTCTTCGCGGCGCCGCCGGGCGGAGCGACGGCCTTGCTCGCGACGGAGGACCGGCTCGCGCGGCGCGCGGCGCTCCTGGGCCGCGTCGGCGCGCCGCCGGGCGCCTACGGCGCGCGGCGCGACGGGTCCCTGGCGGCGCTCGTCGAGTCGACGGCGGCGCTGCGCCAGGGCCGCGCGCGGCTCGCGGGCGCGCTCGGCGCCGGCGCG